AGACATTGAATAGTAATCGCCATTCAATACACACCACAACCACTACAGACACGACAACCACTTCTTCGCCGTCCAGTTGTTGTCGATCTAAACAGACATCGATTTGTTGCCAAAACAATAGGCCATCAAAAGAGTGTTGAGAGTGTTGTGACAGACAGTGTGTCTCCGCATAGGCTGTGGTGAGTGCTGTGATCAGTGGATCAGTCAACACATCCATCGCATCCATCCCTACGATGATGGAAGTGGTGGGTGAGTACGAGTACTCGCACAAAGACCTGATTGGCCATGGTGCGTTCGCCGTGGTGTTCAAGGGTCGTCATCGACACCATCGCCAGTCGGTGGCCATCAAATCCATCACCAAAAAGAATCTGCAGAGGAGTCAGAATCTGTTGGGCAAAGAGATCAAGATATTGTCAGAGTTGACGCAACTGCACCATGATCATGTGGTCGCCCTCCTCGACTGCAAGGACACCCAAACCCACGTCTTTCTGGTGATGGAGTACTGCAATGGCGGAGATCTCGCAGACTATCTTCAGTCGAAGGGAACCCTCTCTGAAGACACGATACGCCTGTTCTTCAAGCAAATCGCCGGCGCTATGAAAGCCCTCAACGCTAAGGGTATTGTCCACAGAGACCTCAAGCCTCAGGTAAATGACAATTGACTTTATGTGCCGTTTTTTGGTTGTATTACTTTTGTTTTGTTTGGTTTGTGTCTCACATTTTTCCTCCACAGTCACTCATGTCTTGTGAAATACCTTTTCAGTGATGTTATAGTCTATGCGTTAGGAAATGCTTATTAATACCAGAAATGCAAAAATGTATTGTTTTTGTCGATGATATGTATGTTTGCATAAAAAGCGGTCCATTAAATGCCAATTTAATGCTTATAAATAAATGTCATAACAATTACAGTAATAATAATAACAATAAATTGTAAAAAAGAGCAAAATTAGTAATGAAACGCAAATTTGCATAAATTTAATGCTAAAGAAGCAGTGATTCATTGAAAACATATTTTTCTCTATACATTCAATACACACATAAAATTACGATTTTTCTTATGTAATAACAAAGTCATATGAATGCATACGTTATCACTGCGTAAGGCATATGTTTATTGAGATTTAATTAATTAATATGTGATGTTTTTGTGTTGATATCGCAGAATATCCTTCTCTGTCACGAGAATCCCAATCCGATGGCCACCGAAATCAAGCTAAAGATCGCCGACTTTGGCTTCGCCCGATTCCTCGAGGACGGAGTGATGGCC